TTTCAGCAAGACTGAAGCTGCCCATGGGCAATATGGCTGCAAGTCTAGGCCTCAGGGGGCTGGACAGGATATGGGATGTGGGGAGCAAAGAGACCCTGTGAAAGGGAGATGGAGTGAGTGTGTGGGGGTAGGAGGCAGACTGAGAAAGACTAAGGGGGATTGTGGGGGGTAGTGGGCTGGGTAGGGGGCAGTGAGAGGCTAAGTGGGTACAGGGGATGGGGGCAGGAGGGAGGCTAAGGAGGAGTGCAGGGGGCTGTGAGGTGGCTGGGGCAGGGAGAGACTGAGGAGATGCAGGGAGATTTGTGGGGCAGTGGGTTGTGTAGGAATGCAGGGAGAGGCTGAGGTGGGTGCAGGGGCTGTGGAGGGCAGTGGGATGGGTGGAGGAGTCAGGAGGGAGACTGAGGGGGTGCAGATCTGAGGGGGACAGGAGGAAGGCTGAGGGGGGGCACAGGGGGCTGCATTAATGAATGGTGTGTGATGTTTGGTATGAGCGTTGTATATGTTCGTCTTAGCTGCTATTTCCATTGTTCAGAACATGTGGGTTTTTCAGAAAAACAATGGTCCTGATTTCCCCTTGATGCTGCTGCTGCTTGGGGTTGCTCCCGCAGTGGCAATCAGCCAGAATGCTTTACAAAGCATACAGGTGGCACAGAGCAGGCGAGACAGCTCAACTAGTGTTGCCAACTTTCTGATTCCGGAAAACCGAACACCCCTGCCCCTTCCCGAGGCCCCACCCTCTGGGAGGGTTGGGACGGGGAGGGATGCAGTGAGGGGGATAGGGCTGTAGGAGCGGTTGGGATGGGGAAGGATGCAGTGATGGGGGTGCAGGGCTGCGGGGGAGGAGTTGGCCAGAGTCTGGGACTGCTGGGGTCAGCAGCAGACTCAGGAAGATTGTCCCGGGCTGAGGCGGTGGTGCTGCCGGGTGTGGAGGCGGTGCTGCCGGGCCGGGCCCGCCCCCGACTCCCCGAGGTGGTCGGGGCAGACTGAGCACTGAGTTTGTCTCATTCTCCTCCCCTTCTCCCCAGCAGGCCCATTCCCAGCACTCGGAGATGGGGATACATGCCTCCACCTCCAGAATGCTGGCAATGGGGCGACAGACCACGGGGTCGCCGCAGGAGCACGTGTTGCAGCTCGAGCCCAGCCACAGGAGGAGTGCGAGGAGGAGGGGGCTGGCAGCAGTGGGAGAGGCGCGTGCTACGACCCCTCAACACCACCCTGCCAAGCAGCGCTCACGAGTCGCGCTAGTTTGGCCCCTGCCGTGACCCGGCCAATGGGAGCTGCGCCTGCAGGCGGGGGGTGGGGCAGCTTGCAGACCCCCGTGGTTGCTCCTAAGCCTAGGAGCCAGACATGCTAGCTGCTTCCTGGGAGCCGCCCGGCACGGAGGCTAGCAGGGAGCCTGCCAGCCCTGCTGTGCGGTGCCGCCAACCGGACAGTCAACACCGGAGCTGCCAGGATCCCTTTTTGACCGGGTGTTCTGGTCAAAAAACGGACACCTGGTCACCCTAAGCTCAACTCCAAGCCAGGCCCAGGCGTGGGGGCATTATGGAGTAACAGTTCTGCAAGGGGGTGTGTGCGTGGGATGGCTGGCGAGTTCCAGGGGTCACTGCTCACACAGGCGCACAGGGTTCTGAATGCTGATCAGAGCTGGATCAGGCTCAGGTTTGTGAGCTGTTAGGCGGATGTACAGTTATGCATAAAAGAGCTTCTTTGTCTAACACAAGTTTTCCTCACCTTAATGTGAAGAACAACACTGGGGGTATGCCTTGAGCATTTGTGCCCTGGAGGGATTGTTAGCAGTGGGGATTGAACCCCAGACCTCTGGTTCTAAACACATGAACAGCTACTGACTGAGAAGTAAACACCCCATTTCATTAGCTGAGTGTGTAATGTTTTTATCAACCTCTAAGTGGCTGAGCCACCACTGGAAGGGGACAGAGCCCCCTACAGGAGTGGGGTATGCACTCCTAATCTCCAGTGCTCCCTGGATGCCAGAGGAGCCTGGGAAGGAGGAGACAAATTTAATTTAGAGCAGCCCTGAGGTTGTAAACTGCACCAGGCTGGGTTAGAATCAGGGTGGCATAAATGTGGCACAATTGCAGCACCCTTTGCTAGGCTGTGTCAAGCACTGCGCAGACATGGCCCAGGATCTGCTCCAGCGTTGTGTGATGTCTTGCTTAGAGTTTTGTCAACTTTGGCTGCTAGCTATCAAAGTTTTTTGGGGGAGAGGATTTATAGATATAGAGACAGATGGATTAGTGAAGCTTGGAAATGGGCAGTATTAAGGGCTAGACAAACCTCTTAAACCAGCTTCTGAAGCTGGCAAAACTCTTTCCCTTATACTTAGTGGAGAAGCAATTTATATAATCTAAACTTAATAATGTGCCATGAATTAGGGGTAGAAGAATTCCCCTCCCACCCCCACTTCCCAAAATGTCGTGATGTGTAAAAAGATGCAAAAGACCCCATAGCACTCACTAGACCGGGGATGTCCTGGCTAAATCTGAAATGGGTGATTCCATCCTGTCAACCTAAATCTGCCCTTCATGGTTTCCTTTGGATATGGTAGGTTTCCTTTCCCTTCCTAAAATTAGTAACCCCATGTTCCTGTGCACTGTTAACTACTTGCTACCTTCTGCCAAAGAGGTAGCTGCATTTCAGTAGAGATGGTAATCAGTTTTTAAAGCGCATTTAGCATTATAGGACATTGGGATGAAATGTGATTTTATAGGAACAATGAGGACACAGTTCTGTGCTTTACCATGCCTGTTCTCAAATGCCTCAAGGAGCCTCCAGAAAAAAACGCTAATAAAGTCAGTAATTAATTTATTATTTTATTTAATTATTCTACAAAATCCTGAGGATTTTTACTCAGGCAAAGCTCTCAGGGGGCCATTCCTATAGACAGGGATCGCCCTGGCCATGCCCCCTATCCTCCAATCAGTTGGCTGTATATCAGTTCCCCACCAGGCTGGGATTGCCTGATGCCTAAAGAATTTCCAGCTTTCAGGCTGTTTTGCATCACTTTAGCAGCCTTATTAGAGGCCAGGATCTGGCTCTGCGACTTTCTTGATGAACTGGTTTCACTGATGTAAATCCAGAGTGCTCAATGGAGTTACTCTGCAATTAGGCTAGAGTGGCTGAGATTTGACTACGGGTCCAAAAATGTGTATTTTGGCTTTTGGGCCCAATGAGCTCTGTAAACAAATATCAACATACAACATCAGGCTAGACAAAATAGAAATGTCGATGGTCATTACATTTCTCCCAGCAAGTATCAGGAAAACAATGTCTCTTTCCTCCCCTTTTTTATTTGATTCTGGACACCATCCTGCAGTTGCAATGGGAATGGAATCAGGCCTTGTGTTTGAACCACACGGGAGCTATCAGCTACCAGCACCTTGACATGTCACGGTGTGTTTCTGGAAGTACGGTATGCACAGGAGAGAAGAAAGGCTGCTGTCATGATCAGGCTCTTAGGAGACAGTAGGGAAACCGAGGCAGCAGGAACAGTGGGTGCTTAGAAGGAGGGGAGTGGCATTAATGAATGGGAGTGAGGATAGCAGGAGATGGGGAGGAAGCAGAGAAGAGACAATGGAAGACAATGGAAACTCAGATGGGGGCGAGGTGGAAGGTGGGTGATGGGCACGCATGGCTTCAGATCCCAGATCTATGTCTTGCAAGCCAGTTCTGAATGAAAGGGCTGTAAATCAATCCCAGCATTCTAGTGAATCAAGCTTTGTTCTCGTGGCTTATGATGTCACCAGAAGCTCTTGATGGAATAGCAGGCAGCCATGATAGAGGTGGCTGTAATTTACTCTGTATCAAGTTAACAATAGTAAATAAACTGTGTATTGGATTCTGGAACGGAATGGCTCTTGCCAATTGAATTTGTCTTACCCTCAGGCTGCCCTGATTTAAAACACATGTATCCATTTAAATCACATCGCCAGTCATACATTCAGCTACTGTTCGTATTCTTATCTCCTTGATAGCTACATTGGTTTAAACTGTTGGCTAATTTATTATGGGCTACAGATATAGAATTTTGTACTCTAGGATTTTCTTGGGAGGCTTTGCATGAGAAGCAGAAATGCTTGGGGTGGGGGCGGAGGCGGAAGGGGAGAGGAAATAATTGCTGCATGTGCAGTATTTAAACCAACCACCTGGGCCCAATTAAAAGCACCTTTGGTTTTATTCAGGGAAGACACTCACTGAATTCAATAAGTCTTGTTTGATTAAAGGCATCAAGAATGGGTCCTTGCTTAGTGGACAAAAACCTGAAGACTGGAGGAAAATTATATGAAGAGACGTTCCCTTATGCTGCCATGTCTTACCAAACATGGTTCAGCTTCTACCCAGGGAAGAGAGGATTTTGGATGGAAAATGACAAAGATTTTAAAAAACAGCAGCATAATGTTAGGCTTCTAAGTCCACACTTAGGCACCAAAGAAAATGGCCTGCTTTTCAAAAGTGCTGAATGCTCCACAGCTTCCACTGACGTCAGCGGGAGCCGGATGCAGCTTCTAATTATTAATCTCGTTTGCCTGCATATTTTCCTGCGGAAGTACTAAGAATGTACAGCAGGTCCAAGTGGCTCTTTATCTGTGTGTGGAGATAAGAAGGGATGCAGCTCCTCCGAAGAAACCGTGTCTTAGAGGCGGAAGGCTGCACTTCTTATCATTCAAGGACGTGTGGTAAAGGGGTAAAAATAGGGCCATGGAGGATAAGAAAGCTGAAGCAAGGCACCTGCCACATGCAGAAGGGAGCCACTGGAAAGGATTAAGACTTGAGAACCTCAGCTGGAATACTGCAAACAGTCACTTACTTACAAGCAGGGCCGGCTCCAGGCACCAGCTTACCAAGCAGGTGCTTGGGGTGGACACTTCGGAGGGGGGTGGCACATCCAGCTGTTCGGCGGCAATTTGGCGGACGGTCCCTCACTCCTGCTCGGAGCGAAGGACCTCCCGCCGAATTGCCGCCACAGATCACGATCACGGCTTTTTTGTTTGTTTGTTTGGCTGCTTGGGGTGGCCAAAACCCTGGAGCTGGCCCTGCTTACAAGGAGTAAGTCAGAGTCATAGACATATAGGGCTAGAAGGGACCTCAAGAGGTCATCTGGTCCATCCCCTGCGCTAAAGCAGGATTAAGTTTGTCTAACCTGTTCTTAAAAAGCTCCAATGATGGGGGTTCCCACAACTGCCCTTGCTAACCTGTGTGATGCTGGCAGACCATGCCAAGGTCCCCATGTCTCACCTGAACACTGCCAAATACATAGCTGGAATCAGTTTGGCTCACCTGTGTGTTAAAATCGGTAGGAGAATTATAAGAATTTAATCTTTATTGAAATGCTTGTGAGTTGCTGCCTGCATTAATCTCACTTGCAACATCTGTTTCTCCTATTGTAAGATAATACTTCTGCCTTGGTATTATAAACCTCTGTAACTATCAGAGGGGTAGCTGTGTTAGTCTGGATCTGTAAAAAGCAACAGAGAGTCCAGTGCCACAGGACTTTCTGTAAAGGTGCCACAGGATTCTCTGTAACTATGTAAATCACCAGACAGGAGGGAGACATTAACTAGTGCGATCGGCAACCAAATGTGTTACGTCCTGCCCCACAGGGAAAGCCCATCGACACCAGACAGAATATATTGTGGAACATTAAACAGGACAAAAGGCTTTGTTGCTCTGCCCTGCCCCCACCATGAAGATGAGTCATGCAAGTGGATTCTGCCCATCAGCTGAGTTTGCAGCTCAGCACATATGTCAGGAAGGGAATAAAAACCCCAAACAGAAGGAACTGAGTATCTCCATGCCGCCTTGACTCTGGAGGGCAAGGTTTCTAGGCATAAGCAAGAGGTTCCCCAGTTGTTTAGCCTGGCTTAGCCTTAGAACTTGCTGATAGAAGCTTCAATTATCTTTTTGAAGTTTATTGTAATTAATGTGTCTGTTTACCTACTTTAATCTTGTAAACTCCACCGTTTCCTTTCCCTATTAATACATCTGTATATTGTTTGGCTACAAGCATTGTCTTTGGTGTGAGATCCAAGCTGCAATTGACCTGGGGTAAGTGACTAGTCCTCGGACTGGGAGTAACCTGAATATTGCTGTGATTCTTGGTGTAAGGGACCATCTATCACAAAGACAGTCTTACCTGGGTGGCAAGACAGATTGGAGTATCCGAAGGGACTGTCTGTTTCCATGTTAAGGCTGTTACAGTGCTTGAGTAGTTTACACTTGATAATTGGTTGGTGAAATCTAAGGATGGAACTCACAAGCAGTCTGGGGTTTGTGCCCTGCTTCTTAACAGTCTGCCCTGAGGTTACTACAGTGACGTAGGCAGCCTGACAACCTGTTCCAGTGTTAACTATACTTATGGCTAGAAAGGCTCCTATACAATCTGGGTGGGGGGAGACACCTTAGAACGTGGTCCACAAAAGCCAGCACGCTAGGCTGCCTCAGCTCCCCCATGAAGCCAGCCAATCAGAGATCTTGACAAGAAGGTTATGTCCTAATCCCCAGTGCTCTCATGGAGCTCAGTGACGAAGGCCAGACTTCAGGGAAGCACCTGTCTCTGCTGGCTCGTGGCTTAGGTGGGAGATAGGCACCTAGGAAACCTTAATGGCAAAAACCTGGGTGCCAAGTGAGTTTAGGTGTCTACAGGGTTAGGCAGCAGCTGAGCAGGGTTTTTAGAATCATAGTGGTACCTGAAACTGGGACTTAGGCACTGGGTTGTAGGTGCCTAAGTCCCTTTGTGGATCTGGGCCTTAGAGCCTCAGTTCCCATTAAAATCAACTGGGCTTCTCAATCCCTTAGACTGCTCTGACAATCAGGAACCAGGTTGGCAAATCCTGCAATTTGCAACCACAAGGTTTAATTAAATTAACAGAAAACCTTATTCAGGTTCTGCAGGATGAATTGCTGTCTGTTATTAAATAATGTATTGGGCTTTCAATCGCACAATATTGTAACATGGGTTTCATTGTATCCCGTTATGTGCAATTTATTTACAGTGACTGCCATTCTGGAAAGCTTTAGTTTTAAAAACAAAAGAGCTTGCCTGTGTGGATTTACATTTACATCATTAATGTACAGATTTACACAACAGCAGAAAGGTTGGATCTTACTGTCAAAGCTGCTGCCCTGTACTACCTGCACCCGCATTCTGCTACTTTCATCCCCTCGTAGTTATATTTCAAAGTGGGTACCCCAGCATCATCAGTGTAGAGGATGGAAATCGAATCCAGTTTGGTAGGAACACAACAGGCCTTGGCAGCTTTCTTGGGGTTTTTGAGGTGCACTAAGGTTTGGACGATAGCATGTTTCGTCGGGGTCACGTTATCTGTCAGAGGGAAAAAGCAGCCCCCTTTGCATTCAAATGCATCGTAATCTTTGGGCGCAATGATCCAGGAATCCCAGCCAATGTCTTTGAAGTTCACACGGAGGGAGGTTCTCCGGCAGTGGTTGGTACCAGTGCTTCTCTTGCTTCTCGATGAAGGCTGGTGGAGTCCAGGGACGGATAAGGATTTCTCCTCTGCCTCCTCTTCCTCTTCAGGCAAAGTGCTGTTCTTTGCTAACTTCTTTAGCACACTCTCCTGCTCATGAACAATCATCTCCCGGAGCTCCACTCTGGTCTCCTTGGTCCCGTTGCTGCGGTCATTGGAGAACACTATTAACAAGGGCAAATTTTTAGTGTCGGGCATAACACTGATGTCCAGCTTCCCACAAGCGAAGTCACCCAGGGTTTTCCTCTCAATAACAACTTCAAGCTTGTTTTTAGTCTTTGATTTGTCTGCCCTGACCCATCTTTTCACAGCACTGGACACCTCAAACATTTCCCATCCACATTCCTGGATATCTTGGGTGGCAAGGAATGAATTGGTGCCTTCTGGACTTTCCCAGAGGTCTTCATCCAGAACATCATAAATGACCATGTTGCCTTCCAGTCTAGAGAGAGGCCCAATGTCCCTATTACAGGATATGTGGATTCTCAGCTCAGCCCTGGTGACGTCCTCGTGCCGCGGGATAGAGACGTTGAAGAGTAAGATGTGTTTCTGAAATGGGTTTTCTTCCGGGGAAGCCAGAGAAACAACATCTGCAACAGGAAATTAAGAAATGCTGTCACCCTGCCTCCTATGAGAGAGGCAAACCCAATGAGGATGAAAGCACTTAGCAAGCTGCATGCTATATTTCAGAAGAAATGCCCACCCTCTACTAGGAGCTGCTGGGAGTGAAGTTACACCATGGCCACTAGCATTAAATAAAATGGACTGGCTTCACTCCAGAGTTATGGGTTTAAAACCCAGATGGCAGTCTCTAATGGTGGTAACTCCACTGGGGATCAAGTTGCAGTGGTCCACAGTAACCACACCTTCAGTTATACTCTGTATGTGCATGAGTGTGGCGTGCTCACACATAAGGAGCCAGCACAGCCCCGAAAGTAGGTGGTGTTGGCTCGTAATGAGGACATGACCGGGGCAGCGGGGGAGTGTGCATATGTAGTGGCTTCCCATAGAGGCTCTGCCATGTGGCCTTTCTAAAGAGCACTGGCAGGAATTAAAGCTGTAAACCTCCATGGAGGTTTGTAATACAAATCCCACTGCCATTACCTTGCCCTTGGTTGAATCCCCTTCCAATGGAGGGGGATTCTCAGGTGTAGGGAACTGTAATTTATATCTCTAATTTATGCCCCCCTGGGCCAGCTTAGCTGAGTTCCCCAATACCGCTAGCGCAAAAAACATCTTGCACTGGGAAGAATTAGAGAAGACAATCAATCCTTTAAAAGTCTGAATTAGAAGCTCCAGGTTCTGGCTAGCTTGGTGGATATGGAGCTTTTCACCTCCAAGTCCCTGGTTCAGTTCCAGCCCAGATTGGTAGGGCTTGATATTCAGAGGTAGGTAGAGCACCTGTAATTCCTGCTGAAGTCCATGGGAGCTGGAGGTGCTAGGCATGTCTGGAAGATCAGGCTGGTTGTGTTTTGGAAAGTTACCCCCAGCTTATGGCTGTCTACTGGTCTATGTAAGATAAGTGGATGGGTGTCAGTCCAATTTCTAATGGACAAGTGTCCACCCTGCCAAAAGCATCTTCACAAGGGCCAATGGGAGCAGAGGATGCAGCCATGGAGACTGCACTCTATAAGGGTCCTTCTGCGTTGGGTATGGCTGTGGGGGAACGTGGAGATAGCTGTAGTGCTGTTTGCACTGTGCCTAGTCTGTAAATAAATGGAAGCTTGGATTCTTCTTGGCTGGTTCCTTTTGCCAGCAATAAATTCACTTAAGCCCCCCACGCCCCACTTTTATTGCTTTTTTTGATGGGGCTTTTTAAATCTTTGAGTTGTATGTTATCTTAGATGGACACAGTGCTTGCTTTGTAATGAAAGAGGTGCCGGAGCTCTAGCAATTACGTGCTGGGGCTCAAGCAATTTTTTTTTATATTCATAACTAATGCAGCAAACCCAGACGTGCTGGGGCTGAGCCCTGGCACAAATTAAGCACTGGATGGATGGATATTTTACTGATGGGCTAAGCTGAGCAGGGCCTGAACCTTTTGGGCCAGATCCAAACACTCCAGAACTCTGAGGGTGAGGGCGGGTGTTCATAACTGAAATCTGGAGCCATATTTCCCACTCGACTCCTATCTTTGTAAAGGGCTGGAGCAACACCCTGGAGCCAAACATCTTCAAATGTTCCAAAATCTAGACCCAAATTGTGCAGCTCAGTCCAAAATCTCTAGCTTTGAGAAACAAGTGCTGGGTTACCAAGTTGTGGTGACTCAACTGAATCAGTATGAGAAGAAAGGGGAGATGGTACAATGTGAAATCAAAGAAAAGGACTTAAGACCTTGAAAATTATAATAAAATAGGGAGCGGTGGACAGGATAACAAAACAAACTATGGCTGGGATTTTCACAGAAACCTAAGGGAATTAGGTTCCCAACTCCCTTTGAATTTCAATTGGATTTGAAACTGACTCTCATGCTTCTCTTAAAACCCCAGCCTATATGCTTAAAACATCTCATACCTTCAGTACTGAAGCTCCGCACAATATTGGATGCAGGGATGGAAGACTTGTCCTTGGCATATCTGTTGTACAGGTCAATCATGAATTGTGGTGGTTCCTCTCTAGACCTCTCTTGCGAAGGGACACCCGATAAGTTCAAACTCCTCAGGAAATCGGCTTTCATGTTTTCCAGGAAGGTTTTAAAGTTGAAATGGGTCTCACCCTCCACCTCTCCGGGATCACCAAAGGATTTATCAGAGTTCTCCATAGCTGATAATTTGCCCCAGGCTTCCAAGGGCTTGCCTCTTGCCAAACAAGTGATGATGTTGAAAACAGACAATGCAGCCATCACCCCAAAATAGTGCATTTTTCATCTGTTCACTTTCCAACGGAGAAGGGAAAAAAGAGAGGGATATTCCAGTTGATTAGAGCTCTCCTTTCATTTAGAGGCAGAAGAAAGGGAAACAGAAGGCGAACAACTTGAGCTCTGTTGCAGTCTGTTGCAAACCCCAGCCTCTTGTCAGTTGTCAAGCCTTATCTTAGCCATTGATGCCATGCTTCAGTTCTGTTATCTAGCAAAGCTCTTAAGTTAATGAAGATTCTATAAACATCTGAAAAAACAGGCTGGACACTGTATACTATAAAGAATTCACATTTCACCTCAGTGTCATTGCTTAATTATGTTCTTTGCCAATACTGAGAGGGCTTTAGAGGAACTTTTTTTTGGGGGGGGGGAGGGTGACCGGGGAAGGAAAAAGACTCTGGAAAAAGAAAAAAATAGGGAGTAAGAACAAACAGCTCTATTAGCAGGGAGCAAATATCACCCCTCAAATCTATACCATGGTCCCTTAATGCATGTCCTCCAAAAATCAGTCATCCGGTGGAACCTTGTTCTACAAGCTGTGATCTCATGACAATGCAAACAGCCTTAAAATTCCCTTCCATTTATCAGCCAAGAGCTATTATTTGTACACAGTGAAATATCTGTTTTGTGTCAAGTTTGCCTCAAATTGTTTGCTGGCTTGTCCATTTTTAGTTTACATCCTTTGGTGGAGGGGGTAAAAAAATTCTGTCTTTAGCTTATGTTATGTAATGTATTTTCCTAGATTCTTGTACATGAGGTCGTTGGTTAAACTAGTTCACTCCTATGTCACTGCAACAATAACTGGTTGTTCTTGAAGATAAAGCCAGGCCTACTAAGCCTGAATGAAACATAAAGTCCCTATGAAGACACTGAAGACTAGCCAAGGATATCTTTGTGTGCCATGTGAATATAGGCCAAGACAAAAAATAAGAATTATGACATATTTTTGTGTGCCTTAAGGAGGAAAAACTCCAGTTAAAATATTAAAAATATTACCTGATATTTAATCTAATTTAATTTAATCATTCTAATGCTCTAATCTAAGTGTACATAATCATTTTACCTAATCTATCTATGTATTATTTTTAGAGAACCAATTAATCCCTAGTGCCTGGTGCTATATTGTCTCATTGGTACTATGAGATCTCAGATCACCTAAACAAAATATCTCACTGCAAAGACTCATGAAAGTTTCTGACTCTCATGAGACCTCTAGGTCTCATTGCTGGTCATTCTTCAGATTTCTCACAGGGCATATCTAGCCCATTGCATAATGCAAACTCTCCGTAATTTAGTTACTTCCACCTGTTTCTCTTCAAAGGAGACCTAGAATCCTTGGTTCTGGTTCCTGCAGCAGTTCCTAGGAGGTTCATAGATTCATAAAGTGTAAAGCCAGAAGGGACCACTATATCACCTAGTCTGATCTCCTGTCTATCACAGGTCATTACATTTACCCATGTACCTGTGTGATAAGCCCAATGGGTTGCGTTTGACTACAGCATATCTTCCAGAAAGGCATCCAGTCTTGATCAGAAGACACTAAGAGATGGAGAATCTATTCTCCCCTTGGCAGTTCATTCCAGTGGTTGATGACCCTCTCTGTTAAAAATTTGTGCTTAATTTTCTCGTTTGAATTTGTCTGGCTTCAGCTTCCAGCCATTGGTTCTTGTTATGTCTTTCTCTGATAGATTAAAGGTCCCCTGAGAACCTGGTATCTTCTCCCTGTGAAGGTACTTAGACACTGTAATCAAGTCAGCTCTTAATCTTGTTGATAAGCTCAACAGGTTGAGCTCTTTAAGTCTGTCACCCCAAGGCATTTTCTCCAGCCCTCAAATAACTTTTGTGGTTCCTTGCTGCACCCTCTCCAATTTTTCAACATCTGTTTTAAAATATGGACACCAGAACTGGATACAGTATTCCAGTATTAGTCTCACCAATGCTGTATATATAGAGAAAATCACCTCCCTACTCACTATTCCCCTGTTTATGCATTTAACTATACATTAGCCTTTCTTGTCACAGCATCGCACTGGGAGCTCATGTTCAGTTCTTTGTCCTCTCTGACTGCTAAATCCTTCTCAGACTCACCACTTTCAGGACACAGTCCACCATTCTGTACGTATGGACTGCATGGCTTGTTCCTAGACGCGGAACTTTGCTTTTGGCTGTACTAAAATGCATTTTGTTTGAAAGAGCCCACTTTACCAAGCAATCCAGATTGCTCTGTATGGCTGCCCTTTTCTCATCATTAACCACTCCACCAATCTTTGTCATCCGCAAATTTATTGTCAGTGATTTTTTTTTGTATGTTTACTCAGATATCATTGAAAATGTTGAATACCGTCAGGCCTAGTAACAATCTCTGTAAAACAGCCCTGTTCAATGCTGATTCCCCATTGATAACTGCTACTTGAGATCTGTCAGTTAGCCAGAGTTTAATCCATTTAACACATTCTCTATTGATTTTTGTATATTGCGAATTTTGTAAAATCAGAATGTTGTGTGGTACTTGGTCAAATACCTTAGATAAGGCAAAGTATATCACATCTATGCAATTACCTTTATTGACCAAAGTTCTAATCTGAATATAATCAGGTTTGTTTGACCAGACCTATTTTCCATAGAGCCACATAAACAGGCATAACTTTATTCTCATCTTTTTGTTCTTTAGGAATTGAACCATGGATCACTTTGCCATTATCTTGTCCAGGACTGGTTTCCTGTTAACCAGCCGATAGTTATCCAGGTCATCTCACTTGTCCTTTTTGAATATTGGCACAACATTAGCTCTCCTCCAGTCTTCTGGAATTGCTCAGGTATTCTACAATTTATTAAACATTAACATCAGTGGGTCTCCTCAGCCAACTCTTTTCATACACTTGGTGCAAGTTTGCAGGGCCTGCTGATATAAAAAAATGTTTACCCCTCGGAGATATTTTCTAATATCCTCCACAGTAACTAACAGACTGGAAAGTATTTTCTCAGTTAATTTGGTCATCAGTGAAATGGCTTATGGGATGCTCTTAGCAAGAGAAGAGAACCTGAATGGAAGTGGGTTGAGCAAATCCACTTCAAAAGAAGACTGGACACAGGAAACAGGAGCAAGGCTGTCATTCCCCTAACTGCAGCTGGTGACATCTGCACCATTAAGAATTATTTTAAATGGACCAGAGATGACATCTTAAGTTAAGAGCAAGTGCAATTGCTAAAATGGTCATATTACAGCAAAGTCAACTGCCTAAAGGATAAACCAACTCTCATTGGTTCAGACCCAACTCCTACTAAACCAAAGTGCTTAACAGCAAATATTTTTATATTATGGTAACATCCAAAGGCCCCAGTAAGGATTTCAAACACAGCTGCTTTTAGCTCCTAAATCCATATTTAGGCATTTAATAAATTCCGGATGTTCTGAGCAATTGCAAGTCCCACTGCAGTCAACAGGAGCTTCAGTTCCTGAGCACCTTTGAAAGTAAGGCCACTCCAAGCCTAAATACAGATTTAGGGGCCTAAGTTTTGACACCAATAATTGAAATTTTTGGCCACCATCATTGAGTCACAGAACAGATGCTGCTTGGAGATGGGTGTGTGCACACATTGGCACTCATTTTGAAGGATAGATTTTGACCCAAACTTGCATGTAGAAGGGGGGAATGCTGTATTGGGTTTAAATAGCAAACAAGTAGAATCTGAAGCCAAAGACGGGAAGTATGCAATGCTTGATGGCCTCTGTCCACAGAAGTTCATTCAAACCTGGAATTGGCATCACCCTACTGCCAGGTAGGAATGGAGCAGAGTACACTGGAATTATCAGAGTGTTTGCCTGAAGCAATGTTTTTTCAGGTGCTCCAATTCCAGATTCCCCTCCACAGTACTATTGCTCAAAGGTCATCAGCTTAGGGTCTAGATGTTCAAGTGACTAGTGATTTTTGGATGCCAAATTTGACATGCCTTAAAGGGGCTTGACTTTGAGTTGGTAAATGCTCAGCACTGTCTGAAAATCAGGCCTCTTCACAGATGTCTCAAAGTTGGGCAACCAAACATTAAGGGTCTGGAAATCAGTAATCAGTTTTGAAAATCTGGGGTTAGGCCTTAAAAACATAAAAGATTTGCCAGTTCAGCTCTATTGGCAAAGCCTCCTAGTGGAGATGCAGCTTGTAGCAGGCAAGAGTTCTTTTGCCAGGATGGCTTATACCAGTTGTAATAAATGAAGCGGGGGGAGCTCCCTTTTATGGATACCCAGCCAGCCAGTTAGCTATAAAGTCCCTGCTTGCTTTACCTGTAAAGGGTTAAAAAGTCCCCAGGTAAAGAAAAGGGAGTGGGCACCTGACCAAAAGAGCCAATGGGAAAGCTAGAACTTTTTAAAATGGGAAAAAAGCTTTCCCTTTGTCTCTCCGTTGTTTTCTGGGCTGCAGGGACACGGAGCAGCAATGCTATAAGCAGAAATGCGGTGTAAGGTTTGAACCAGGTATGAAAAAGTATTTTCCATACCTAGAAGAAATAATCTGGATAGGGAATGCTTAGTTAGATGCTATCAGGTTTATTTTTTATTTTGGCTTGTGGATTTCCTCTGTGCTAACCCTGGATGCTTTTGTTTGCTTGTAACCTTTAAGCTGAACCCCCAAGAAAGCTATTTTGTGTGCTTAATTTTTGTAATTGTTTCTTTTAAGATCTAGCAAAAAGCCTAAGTTCCAGATGCATTTTTCCCTTTTTATTTTTAATAAAATTTACCTTTTTTAAGAACAGGATTGGATTTTTGGTGTCCTAAGAGGTTTGTGCATGTTGTTTGATTAGCTGATAGCCACAGCTAATTCCCTTTGTTTCTTTCTCAGCTCTTGGGGGGAGGGGGTTGTGTGAAAGGGCTTGAGGATACCCCACAGGGAGGAATTCTCAAGTGCTCCTTCCTGGGTTCAAAGGGGTTTTTTTGCATTTGGGTGGTGACAGCGTTTACCAAGCCAAGGTCAGAGAGCAGCTGTAACCTTGGGAGTGTGATACAAGCCTGGAGTGGCCAGTATTAATTTTTAAAATCCTTGCAGGCCCCCCACTTCCTGCACTCAAGGTGCCAGAGTGGGGGTTCAGCCTTGACACCAGTTCTCTGAGCAAGGTATCCAACTGTGCCTAGACTAGGGCTTTTGCTGGCATAGCTATGCTGGGCAGGGGTTGTGATTTCTTTTGTTCACGCTTCTGACAT